TGAAGTTCTCTCAAACGAATGCCCTACGTGCTCGGGCGAGGGTTTCATTGAATACCCTCAATTTGATCCTTTCTTGATCCTCTCGAATCTAATATCATGCACGGTCATCTCAATATTGATTTCCCTCCCTTCCTCAATTCGAATTATACATGAATTCGGGGATAGATGTAGTGTTGATCCGAGAAGTCATATTTGAGTGATGATGATTGGGTGATATTAGACGAGTTCATCGTTTAATACTAACGCACTACAAGTTATTGCATGTCGTTAAGGTACGATTCTTTTGATATTATCATGCTTTATTGTTTCACTCCAGATCGGATCAAAATAGTAATTTATCATAAATATTTTAGTTGCCAGGTGGAGACACTCATTAAGTAATCGTAATTTCACCCTAAAAACTCAACATGCCTAAAACATGAAGCTCGTTTCAGATATGTTCGAAATTCATGGACGTTCATATTGATTCATCGTGTTCCACAATAGTACATAATACTTCCATACGGAATACTAAAAACAATTAATTATTCTAAATGGTACAAATCCCCAACCACTCCTTTAATATTCCTTGGGATTTACCGATGAAAGAAACTAATATCGGAAGATTTATTTAAATTCCAAAGTTAATTGAAGATTCATATCCCGATATTGAAGCCTTGTGACTTGAAAAGAGTTATTATCCGCACAAAGAATATTCTTACTTCGAAGATGAAATGATACTAATGATTATGATCATGATAACAGTATTTATAATAATAATGATAATGATTAAAATAATTGTAATAATAATGATAACAATGATAAGAATAACAATAAAGCTATTGATAATGATAATAATTATTAAATGAAATAAATGTAACTATAATCATGATAATTATAATGAACATGACATATATGATGATAATATTAATAATTATACTAATAGTCATAATAATAATAATGATTATAATAATGATTATAATAATAATAATAATAATAACAATGAAATAATAATAATAATATAAATTGTCACATTTGTATATCACTTTATTTTAAGCGCTTGAGCAAATAAAATCATCAAAAACTACATTGATCCTTTTTCATTACCGTTGTAATGAACCTTTTGGAAGGACACTGCCGATATTAATTCCAAACATCGAAATTGTTTGATATAAACGTTCGTAATACCATGCACATCCAGTTCACTATTAGGATCCAGGAGTCTCAATTACACACGCACAAACAGAACAAGGCCCTACACATGATATGAGACAATCATCGTAAAATATATGATAACAAGGAGAGCGCATGCAGCGTGGCATAATCTCCCATTTGAGGTCAAGATCTGCTATTGAAAAAAAAATACTAGTTTCCATGGCAATATGAGTATACTGTTGCTATATAAAAGGGTCCCCCTTCCCGCTTAAAGACTACTACGTGGATTATCATGATTCTCCCTTTTTACAGAAAGCAATGCGGTGTCCTATGGAAATAGAGCATAAATAATGTGATTGGGCAAAAACATAAACAAAAACAATGCATGCATGAGTATCATTAAGTTTTATGCAAGTACGCCTACACATACTTTACAGAGTTAAATGTCTATATGAATATGCAGGTTTTCCTAATGATTTCTAATTGCAGAAAATAATAATTTTCGTTTGGATATGAAGCTCATACCCTCTCTTTTAGGAACAGAATTCCTTAAACTGTTAGAAGAGGAATATGATTTAAATTCAATTTCAATGCAATAAAGGTTTATTCGAATGTTTCGCAGTACATATATTGAATTATACATGCTTTACAACGATTAAAATACATTATAAAAACAAATTGCAATTGTGTATACAAAATACTGTATTAAATACCAAATTACATAAAATACTTTACAGTGATAGAATTAAAGGTAATAAATGTCAGATAACATGTAAAAAGATGTTGTAACACTCCACCCAGGTGAAGTAAATGGGTACCTGGTAGGAATTTATTCTATGAAATGCTAGAGCGCCGTATGGCAGCCGTGCTAAAGCCAGGGTAATAATCGGGAGCGCCAGGAGAGTCAAATCTGACTGACATGAGTGCTATACAAGAACCCATTATTATTATTATTATTATTATTATTATTAATGAATATAAAATTAAAAGATAATTTCATTCCCGCTATCGATGAAAAAGTATTGAACGATAACAAAGTAAGAGGTCAAGTAGAAAGGAGAATAAAGAGTAAGAAAGACGGAGAGAGAAAGAGAGAGAGAGAGAGAGAGAGAGAGAGAGATAGCAAGGCAGAAATACAACTAGGAGTGGAGAAAGAGTACAGTAAGATAACCGTAAAAACAGAAAAAATAGTGATTTTGATAGCAACACTATACAAGTTTGAAACAGGTCAGAGTATCAAATAAATTATAGATGATCGTTACTACAAGTTTTGATTCGCATGATGATTATTGATTATACGTGTGAGTTTAGGACTTTCTGTCTGGACAGGGCTTACATGGATTAAAAATTATGATTCATCAAATAGATGGATAATATTGAGTAGGAAGACTTTTTTTTGGGCATGGACATGGTAACCATTGTATAACACACTAGCAGGTAAACGTCACAATTAGAAAGTAAATACAGAATACAATCTCCGTTAAAATAGACTACTTCGTAGTTTAATGAGTCTCTTAATATTAGCATCTAAAATTCTGCTTCCAATTGTCAATACAACTATTCTCTTAGGTCTCATGACAAATTATTGTTGGCGACACCCAGAACAGATTACTGTAAACGTACGTTTTCTTACAGAGGTGCTATTCAATTTAATAATCTCCCTGCAAATCTAAAACTCCCACGTAGTCTTAAGGTATTTTCAAAAAGGCAGATTGCCTCCGTCCCTTTCCTCATGTAAGCTGTTAATTGGATTTAGGATATATTATTTTTAGTCACGTGTTCCTCACTACACAATATATATATTTAATATTAAAACAATCATCTTGGAACCAAAGGGGGAATAGTTTTACCTCTATGGCTTGACTGAACTGGGTGTTCCCCCGACATCATTATTGTCTTCTTCCTTTCTTTTTTACATTGTTTGTTATGTTTGTTTAAATATTTATTCATATTATGTTGTAAATGATCTGTATATATATTATGTTTTTATTGTGAATTCGAATCAAATCAAATACATTGGCGGATTTAAGGGGGGGGGGGTTGGGGTTAATCAAACCTATACCCCTTTTCCGAAAGCCAAGTGGCATAGCTGAAATGCACCGACAGTGTCCTATTTCCTTTTCGACTTCTTAGTGTATTTCGGACTAGAGAGGTACCCTTAGAAACTAAAGACTCTTTTTTCCCCAGAAAATAATTAGAAAAATTGACCCCTCCCCGTTTATATAAAGAAACTCTGGATTCAACTCTGCTGTAACATGTATCTTATTCATACCTTTTTTCGATGACAAAAAAATGACGAATATGTCTTTCCTTTTAAGAAAGAATTCAGTAAATATCCGGTACAATGTTAGCTTTTCAATATCAATATTGATGTAGAGTACTGGAACTGTAGGCGACACATGGCAGAAAAGTGGCTCCTGTCTGTGATCGAACATCAATAGGAGTTAATCTAATCAGGTAAACGGTCACTCATGCTTTTTATTCCCTCCGGGAAATATCAATACTATTGTATTGCCTAGGGAAAACATTATCGATTTTTGTTAAGGCGTAATATACTAATCTCAATTGTTAGTGCCTGACACGTCGACGTCGTGCGAGGTAGTCATTTTGTCTAATGGCAGAAACCATATCTATCACAATCGTGTATGTGTATTACAGGCACGTTAAGCACTTGCACCTGCTCTAATCGGCACTATTCAATGTATATACACTTTCTTTCACTTTTAAAAGTGTTCATAAAGGTTTTCCCGGCCAATTTAGCATTTTCCAGTCCATTTAATAAAGAGTCCATTCAGTTAAGCGCGAACACTATTTTCGGCGCGGAGACTCTCATTCAAAAAAATCAGTCATTCAATTGATTGCATCGGTCAAAGGATTCCGCACTTTTATCATTCAAATTCATTCCGTCATGTGCGTGTGCCAATATTCGTTCAAATTCATCGGCAATTGCCGTAAAGGGATCTCGGGCATTCAAATTCGAGAACGGGCAGTCCATTTGGTTACAAGTTCATTCAAATTAACAAGAATGTTGTTTATGTAGCCCCCTATCTATTTTTCTTTGTTAATTCCTCGACATGGTCGAAATGAAGATCTTGTAAATATATTCATGAACTCTGTGTTTTGCTATTTTCTTTACCTCTCACAGTTACATTAGTTAAGATGCCTCAAACTGCCCCTCCTAAGAACATGAAAGTAAATCAAAACAAATAGGGAGGGGGGGGGGGTGCTGAATGTGGACATAATTATATGTGGAAATTTATCCCCATCAGTTTACGAGAATATATAAATATATTCTACATGAATATATTTTTGAAATGCAATTTGCAATTTATGGGAAAGAGAAGGACATAAATAAAAACGTATCGCACTTGAAAAAAACACACACAAAACAAGCAGAGAGAGAGAGAGAGAGAGAAAAAAAAAACTCGCGGTTTACAGCACACTTAAGAATAAGTTTTTATGAACCTTTCATGTTTTTAAAATTTGTGTGATAAACAAATTGAGAAATTAAAATGTATTGTATAATTAACCACTTGATTGATAATAAAAGTTCTAGGATATTTAAAGCTTATCCTAAAGATAATAATAATGTGAAAACAGTACTATTAATATGAAGATAGGTCTAGATCACAGCTTATACTTAAATCCAAATTTCTATCACATCTAGTTGCCCAAAACACTGTAAAACTATACAAATTGTGCTGAAATATACATATTGCGCTGAAATCTATATCTATATTTATTTTCCAGAAATTTTTACTATCAGGAAACCTGAGAATATAATGTTAGGAGGGATCAAAGTTAAAACATGAATGACAACAACAAGAACAACAACAACTAACAAACACATAAATAAAAGGTCTTACCTTTCCCCCTTTCAGCTCCTGAAGGCACTTTCGGTAGCTGATGGTAACGAAGATCAATGATCAAAGACAGATGATATCCAGATATATATAAGAATTATTATTCTCAAGGTTTCCTCCTGTTTGTCCAAGTCAGCACTTCCATCGAAAGTGATGCACTCCCATAAGAAAGGGATGGTATTGGTGGTAGCGCCGGCAGACAGAGATGGATAAAGCGAACACGGTGATGCCTCTGAGCTCGTTATACTCCTTGGGTGTGATTGGTGGGATTGCAAAGGGCTAATGAGTGGAAGACTCGATGTGGCAGTCTGTTATAAACCTTTCCACCACGTTGGTCTGCGAGTAAATATCCAGTGATGTTTTCCTTTTTCAAACTAGGGCGATGCGGGGGGGGGGGGGGGGGTTGCTGAAGAAAGACGAGACGAGTACAGGAGTCAATTTCTGTGAAGATAGTGTCATTCCTTTCATGTCCGGTGGGGCACAGCAGGAAGTACAGTATATGCACATGTTCTTAACTGGTTCTCTCTCTCTCTCTCTCTCTCTCTCTCGCTCTCTCACTTATAATTCATATTGTCTTATGATCGATAGCATGGTATTGTGTTGTTCATGCTATTTCGTGGTGCGTAATATGTCAACCCAACAACCGTGAAATTCGTTGAAAGGCTTATCCTGGCTGACTATATCACAAATTGATTCTTGAATTAAACATTACTTGCGTTTAAATGAAGTATGTATTTGTCAGTTAATATGCTACCTTAGATAAAGAGAGATTATAGTCTGATGGGAGTTAAATGTGTTCTGAAGACAAAAAATAAAACCTCTAAGCTCTTAAAATTGATTTTGATAGTTATAAAAAAGGAACTGTCCTTTTGTTATGTATTACTTATATTTTAGTACATTAATCATGACATATTTGTCTGTCAAATCCGGAATCTATTTGTTTTAATATTAGTGTTTCGACTTCAGTTTCACATGTGATGTCGCTTAAGGGGCGCAAGATGGGGGAGGGGGGGGGGGGAGGGCGTCGTGTTATTTCAACGACTGGTAAAGAAAAAAAAATAAGAAAGAGGAAAGAGAAAAAGGGAAAGGGAGAGAAGGGAGACATGACGAGGAAAGAAGACCCCTGGACCACCTATCACACCTCGTAGCCATTAGCCTTATAAATTCGCTCATGTTTAACTGAGACTGGTGCCCGGCCGCCCCCAGCCCCAGCCCCACAACATTGTACCAGTACCCAACTCTTGCGACGCCACTCAAGACGAATGTAACTATCCAAATACTACCAAATTAGATTTAGCCACCTTGAAATGACCAACACTGGATAATGCACCATGCCATCAGTCATAGGGTGTGTCAATGTACGGCTAGTCCGTCCATTTTATCCATGTCCGTTCAAGCATAGGAAACACACAATATAGTTATTTCAAGAATCGATATACTCGATTGAAGGACAAATATACCAGTCATGTATTGATCAATTGCATTGATTATATCACGCTCTATCACTCCGCTGGTCATGGGTGGCGAAACGCCTTTTAAATCTTTGTTCCTGTCTTAGTAATGCTGGATTGGGAGGGGGAGTATTGCGTAATATGACCTTCTGACTTTTTTGCACATGGGTGGGGGCGAAAGTCTGAATCGAAAGGCATGATAAGATTCTGCTGTTTCTATATACCACCTTTTTGCGTCATGCTTGGTGCTTTATTCAGAAATCATCTATGCTTTTAATTTGATTGAGAATGGGAGGCATTTTCCATGTTCGTCATCACGCCGTGATAGTCATTGACGGTCAAATACATGTAAACAAATTCGAACCCTCAACTACAATCAAATTTAGTGAATGAACCAATATAGGTCAACATGTACCACGACAACTTCCCATAAAATGAACGCAAATTAACTTGAATTATTAAAGAGATACATCGATCTGTCTCTTTTGGTCCAGGATTAAGGAGGATGTGATGCACAAAAACGACAGTCTGGGCGCAGTTCTGTTTATCAAGGTATGCCAGATGATGTTAAAATGACGGGGGTTGGGAGGGAGAAGGGGCGACGGCCTTGCCCCTTTATAACCATTTAATTTCGTTTAATTTAATTTCAATCATTTATTTAAACACAGTGACTCTCTCAGCCCAAACGGCTGTTTTTCAGGAAGTCCGTGTTAACTGAAAACAAAATATACAAATTATATTACATCACAGGTTCGGGTTACAAAAACGGTATAGTCTGAACATGAGGGTGTAACTATCCGAGTAATTATTTCTAATACTATTAGTAAAACATGCCTGGACGGATAAGAACAATAAGGAGTTGTTTGTTTGGTATTCCTATCTGTTGTAGTAGAAGGGAGGGGAGGAGGGGGGGGGGGGGGGAGACATGCGAACGGCTTTTGTGACATAAGGCTATCGAAGTTTAAATGAATTTTGACGACAATTCAAAGAGACTTTCTTTGTAATTTCTTTGTGCGCAAATACATGTCCGATTTGCGGGAGAATCTAAGTTTGTTTGCTGTTATGGTACTGCGATTCATTACACTTTAAATTGATTCTTGCCTAACACCTCTACAAGATCACGCATTTTTCATCCGACAACAAATTGCCTTGGAAAGCAAGTAATTTGACAAATCCTGTCACGTGGACAAAGATTGAATGAACACACGTGACAAAATGTTGTATTCATTCACGTGACATTGATCACTTCAATGAGCACCAAATAGAGCCAAACTCGACAAGGTAATAGTATTAACAAGTTACTTGTCAAGTCGAATGATAGAATTCACAATCCTTGTTCTTTCAGCTACCTAAAATAAGTCGTAATTATATACCTGAAGGGCGGTTTTTTTTTACCGAAAACGCCCCCAAAATAAATGGAACAACACTTTCATCTCATATACTACGTAATACGTATTTTAAGTCGTTTATCTATCTTATTTATTTCATTAACAAAAAAACAAAAAAACATTCAAATACAAAATGATAACGTACATACGACAGAACAGATTATAGCTCAACAACAGTAAAACCAACACCATTACTTCAAAATTAAATCGGAGCAACTGAACGTATAGACGAGTACATTTAGAGATAAGAGTGATAGTGTAAAATAACATTATTTTGTGACGTCACTAAAGATGCAGTATATACAAAAAACAGCTTGTTTTCTCGGCCTTTCTTGACCTATGCAAAAACCGTGAGGAAAGGTCGCATTGACGATAAAAAGTACATTGATTACATTGTTCATGTTACTAATGTATTTTAATAGAGCATTAGTATGATTATACCGAGTAGCATAATATACATGTTCTTTGATGGGGAGGATAATGGAGTACGTGATAACGTAATGGTGGGATGTCAATGTCGTCTTTTTATGAGTATGTTGCGATGGAATACATTTGAAATCAATGTTTGCATAAACTTGGTAAAAGTTTAATGCTTTGATTTCTAAGATCATTCTTTTTTGGGGTTTTACAATTTTTGTTCTCCAATTGATTATGTTTAATAACGACATAAATGATCTGTGCTGGTGTATAGGACTATTCCAACAATCAAATCATAAATTAATGGCCATGCTCTCATTACTTATCTTCTTTGCATTCTTTGGTCACCTTTTGTTTTTTATGGACACAAACCTGTTAAAAAAAAAATCTACGCTGAAGAAGGAAAATTCTTGTGCAGGCTTATGCATGGTGTATAAGGGATGTGGGCAAATTCATTGACAGTACAAATGCGGACATGCATAGATCCCCCAACTATCATTTGGAAACTTTTCCCAACCTTTTAGCCACATAACCACTATTGAATAGGTCTCTCCTAGGACTTTATTTGTATAACATTAAATATGCATGACATTGCATTATACGCAAATAAAAGTCGTTCTCCCATTTTCAATAGCATGGGTACGGGGCATGACGATGGGCACACGCCCCGCCAATGTTGACGTGAACAGGGGAAGGCGGAAGAGAGGGATCTAAGGGGACTTGAAATTAAAATGATAGGACCCTTCTCACACCATACTGCCCCCTAATGATACATCTTGCTGTCTTGCATTTCATCCACCAAATAAGCCCGGTGCATCCCCCAAAAGTGCCTCTCCAATGGACCTCATTTCAGAACTTTACTTGAATACTATTATGATAACGAAACACATCGCTATCGTAACCGCATGCATTTTAATTATCTTCTTTCTTCCTTTTTAATCATACATAAAGGGGAGACTTTTGATGTCCTTGATAAATTTATGAAGAAAAAAAAAATCAAATTCTGCGGATTTTTGTTGGTATAAAGCCACTCTCTCTCTCCGTCTCTATCCGTCTGTGTCCTTCCGTCTGTCTGCGGGAGGGGTACTGTTTAAAAAACATTAACATGGATGTGGTCATACAGGTGTGGATGTTGGAGGATGTTAGACCTGAGAAGACATCCGTTATTTGAGCTTTGATCAAATATGCACTCAACACATTGGAATAGAATGTACTTTCATATCATATATTGGAATGTACTTTTATATCATATATTAGAAATTCATATTTAGTAATAAACTGTACATACAAAATGTTAGTATTGTGACGCTTGCACAGTTGGAAAAAAGATTGTCTCCGAGAGTTTCTCTGAAAGTAGACAAAGCGAGATCTCGGTCGAATATAGTGCATGTTTGTTTCAAGAATCGTCATAACCTAGCTTATATATATTTATATATGGCAATTACAATTGAGCCCAATGTAAATATTTGATTGCATGTCTGAATCTTTTCCTTAGGTGTGTATTATCTCTTTATTGCTTTAGAGTTGGTACTTCTCGGTGTATTGTCGTAATGAGCATCAGTCAAACAGAAAATAATAATAATAATAATAAAACATTAACAAAGATGTTCATAACAATACTACTACTAATAGTAATACTACTACTAATGATGATGGTAATAATAATAATTTAGCCCTAATTCAAAGTTACATGTATTTGTAATTTAATTTGATTCCTCCATTTGCAGCCAAGATTACCACACCCTTCACATTATTAGATTTATTGCTACAAATGATGATTAGTCATTCTGACACTAATATAATTAAATCGAAATCCTTCTGTTAATTCAAATTGAAATTTAAACACTAAATTGAGTAAAATCGTTTTTCTTCCGCATTTTTTGTTTTTGTTTTTTAAATAAAAAAAAACAAGATAATTAATTGATGAAAATGAGTAAGCTGACAGAAGATTACAAAATATGGGGGTAGACAAATGGATAGGGCAGTGGCAGATCAATGATCATGATGCTGATACCCCTCCCCCTCTCTTCATCAGAGCCCGTTACCCCCTCCCCTTCTCTCCACCAGAGCTTCCACATGGCTTGGTGGAAGAAAAAGCATTTTTTGTTGTTAATAACGTGTTATAATAATAAATGTAACTTATATAGCGCCAAATCCAGTCTGTGGAGTGCTTAAGGCACATGTATAAATTATAAAGATTTATTCAGAAGTGTTTTTACATGCTGAAACAAAATATAAATCAGAGGTTATACACTTTT